TGGTGTGTGATTTCCAGTTTCCTCAGTGCTAGTGTCTTCTGCATTTGTACTGGGTGGACTCGGGGCCTGAGACTGCATTTTGTTCCTTCTCTTTGTCATTCTGTATACCACTGTCTTCTGACCTTTGGTGCAGAGCTTAGATAGAGTTATTACCTTAGCACCAGGTCCGGATCTGTGAAGTTCAGATTCCTCCAGGTGTGTGTTGTTTGGATCTGGCTGCTGTGCTCCACTTCTTTCTGCTGTAGTCCTTAGAGTTGAACCCTTTGTGTCTCTCTGGCAAGATGTTCTGCTCCTGAATCAGCTGGGTAGATCTTGCCTCTAGCCTCTTTGCAGGGAGTTCTGCTGACGGGTTCTGCGCTGGGCCTGTACTCTGAGGGTCAAATGAGGATTCGTGGGCCCCGGGCGGTCTCACTCACAAGTCGGGCCTGGGCTCTGGGTCTATTCAGGATCCCGCGGGCTGTGGGTCATCTCACTCACTCTGCCAACTCATTTTAAAGTTCTTTTTTTTTTTTTTTTTGCGGAACCAGGGATTGAACTCAGGGCCTTGTGTATGCCAACTCATTTTAAAAGAATATACTAATAGATATTTCTAGTGCTTTTCATGAATTTTCTTAATCTTTATGCAGTTTTGAGGTAAGTACAGTAATTACTATTTTGTAAATACAGCATTTGAGATGCATCAAGTATAGTATTAATATGTGGTAATGCTGGACACTGAATCAGTAACACCACATAAGAATTGTTTTAGCTAAAGATACAGTGAAAGAAAGGAGTAATCATAGGGACTCTCAATAAAATAGACCTAATTTTATTCCTAGACTTAGTGGAATTGTGGCTTCACACACATTTCTTAAGCTTTAAAAAATCCTGTTAAGAAATGGCTTTGGCAGAGGTCTGCAACATTGGGACCTCGGTGAGAATTCATACTGGTTCAATATGTGTGTTGGTGAGAATAGGGCAGTAGTATGGAATAGCATGTGTATTAGGTGAAAATAGATTACATTTAAAGATTGTGAAACTCATTTAACACATTTATTGAGTGGTTTCTATGTGACAATTATTATATTGAATGCTGGTCTACAGGTATGAATGAAATATGGTCTCCATCTTTTTGAACAGATTTAATGGAAGAGACAGAAATACACCAGTAAACACAGATGATTTCACATGGTCATGTGAAAAATGATGGCTTGGGGAGAGAGAAAAGAACAGAAAAACAACTTGAGACTAGATGGTAGATGGCTTCAGTATATTTGAACTTAAAATTTATGTTGTAGATAGCGATACAGTGGCAACCTAACTTGTCAGGTTAGTAAAATCAGACCTTTCCTGTAACACAATTCATTTTTCTAGAAGTTTGCCTTTTAATTATGAAGTTTTCTCAGGATTATGAAGAATAAGTGTGAGTCTTATTATACCTTATCAGGCTTTCAAAGGCAAAAGCCTAAACTCCGAACAGTGTTTAAAACTCCAGAACAACTTCCTCATAACACTGAGTTAACAGTATAATCTTAAGACTTAGCTTCTCTTAAGGAAAACATAAAGTTCCTCAACTTCCAAAGGGACAAAAAATTGTTGACTCAGGAATTGTGTAGAAATATTAGAGCATGATATTAGCTATTTTTTTTATATTACCTATTATCATGGTTTAGTTTGTGTTGCATCTTTGAAGAATTGGTGAAAATCAGTGCGAAACAATCAAAGCACTGACGCTCCTGATGTAACTCAGCAGTCGGGCTGGTTTCCACCACCCCACCTGCGTGGACTTTTTCTTTTGATGATTTTCCAGTTTTTCATTTCTTCTTACATAGGAGCTTCCTCAGGTGTTAGTGCTGGAGGTATTGTTTTGTGGAAACTTTTTTTGAAATTGGGTCAAAATACACAGAATTTTGGACATTGACCAGGCTGAGAAGTGATGGTGCTGACGTAACAGCAGTGTGGAAAAAGCACTAGCTGCTGTGGCTGTCGCCAGCGTAACATGCAGGCCAGGATCTGGCACACAGAAGCTAGGAACAGTCAGAGAAGGTTGAGAATTGGGATGTACAATGTTGGTGGTTGGCATCTGATAATAAGTAACAAAGTATTTGGAATGCAAAGAACTTTTTTTTTTGTAGTACTGTGGATTGAACTAAGATGTGGCAATTGCCAGGCAGGTGCTTATGCCACTGAGCAATCTTCCTGGTCCTCAGAGAACCATTTTAAAAAATGAGTTTCTTATTAGAAAAAGTACTGGAAAAATTTAGAAAGCATGAAAGAAGTGAAATAACTTTTGGAACTACTGAATTTTAAAGTGAATATTAATTTTTATGTAAAGTTATTAGAAAATTATCAATACCAAATTTTCCAATTGGTGCTTATTCAAAATACCAGTAAAAAATAATACCAAGTATTCATATAATAAAAAGTTTACTTCTTGGAGCAAAAGAAAATATCAGTGAAGATGTTAACTTCTGGAATGGTGAAAGAGTTCAAGAATTATTTCAACCTGTGAGGTTACAGATTGGTAGCACAAAATGAAACGATGGGCCCGGGGCGGCAGCTCTGTGGCAGACACTTGCTTACACATCCCAGGTCCTGGGTTCAGTTCCCCAGTGTTGCAGAGTGACATGACATAAGGCACTGTGACTGCTTCTTCAGCAATCTGCAATAAGACAGTTAGCTGGTAATGAAACTGAAGCGCAGTTATCAATTTGGGAAAGATACCCAGTGAAAATGCTGAAAAATGGCACTAGATCTTGAAAGGACAACTAGCATATAATAATTTATTTGAAGTAGTTGCAATATGAAAAAGATGAATAAAGTACATAACAAACCTGGCCACTAAGAATGAGTTGGACAGTTAAAAGTTACTACGAAGGATAGAACTTCTAAATCTAGTAATACGAAGTCTGCAAAAAAATGTACATTTTCTTGATATTCTCAGTCTGGTTTCTTTCCATATGGGTCAAAAGCAGAAATTAAAAATAAAAGAGTGGAATCAGGGTGTAGTTTAATGGTAGAGCAATTGCTTAGCATGTGTGAGGCCCCAGGTTCAATCCAAAACCAGATAAAAAA